GTCGGTGCTCCAGCTCTGATGTGTAATCAATCTTTCAAGTCCCAGAAGTCATAGCCTCCACTGAGACTACTTATGCAATCCCAGCCAATATCATGGAGCATTGGCTCTTCATCCTATCTCATCCTGGTGGAGGTCTGGAGAAACATATCTGCCGCTTTCAAAGACTACCTCCAGCACCTCGGCTGGACCAGGACGCAGTGCTTACGGCCACTTGAAGAGATAAGGAAAAGTCCTAGCCAGCTCTGTGCATGTCAGTACGTGGAAATAGGGTCAGGCTCAGCCAAAATGGAGACAACTGCTTCTTCTTCAAAGAGAGTCACTCGGGTGGTCCTCCACAGTATGTTACATATAAATATAAACACACACACGTATGGCTGGGGCTGTAGTTCAGTGGTATAATACTTGGCTTTATTTATTCATAAAATGAAGTAACTTGTATTATTTTTTATTTGTACCTTCAGAATTCCTATAAACAGATGGTCTGTGACTTATGATGGCTTAAGTTAGATTTTTGGCTTTATGATACCGAGAAAGCAGTCATACAAAACATATTTCAGAATAAGATTACCAGAATTAAAGAGACATTTCAAATGGTCAAAAGGTCATTACAGGGGCCAGGGAGATGGCTCAGTGGAATAAGCGCTTCCCTGGCAAGCGCAAAGGCCTGAGTTCAATCCCTGGTTCCGCCAAAAAAAAAGGTCATTACATCAAGAAGACATCCTTTGTACCTACTGAATTACAGAGATTCAAAAAAAAGTAAGGCAAAATTGATAGCACGAAGGGGGAAAATGACAAATCCTCTTTCATAGTTCTAACGACGAGTAACTGACAGAAAACATATGCGCAAATCAGTGGGATATGGAAGATCTAAGGAACACTACTACCTAGCTTTACCTCACATTTCCAGAAGACTGTGTGGCAGCTGCACAGTGCACAGGCTCTTCACATGGGCAGAAAATGTTTGTCGGACGATGAAACAAGGGTCAGTGAAGTCCAAAGAGTAGAGACCCATACAGAATTTCTATTTAAATAATTAAGTTTTAATTTACAGACTTAAGTCAGGTATTCATATGCCTAGAAGTTGTCAAACATTTGGAAATCAAACAACCCATGGGTAAGGAAGCAGTTGTAAGAAAAATGTAAAGTATTTAAATGAATGAAAATAAAATAACAAATATCAACATTTTGAGGGTGCACTTGAAACATTACTAAGAGAGACTATTTTGCTTTAAATGCATATATTTAAAAAGAAAAAATAAAACACCTGCCTGGCAAGCACAAGGTCCTGAGTTGAGTTCTAATATAAATAAAGAAAGAAAAGAAAGATTTAAAATTGATTATTTACATTTCCACCTTAAGAAATTTGAAATTAAAAAAAGAAATTGGAAATAAAGAACCAATGAAACTCAGTCTAAGACTAGAAATATGATAAGAAAGGAAAGGAAATAACAAGAGTCAGTGAGCTAAAAATAAATAATGGAGAAAATCAAACAAAGTCAAAGTTTAGCTTTGAATAAATTAATAAAATAAAATTAATTTTAATAAAATTTTTAGTTAATAAAATGCCTTGTGTTAGCCTGGCTGCTGTAACAAAATGTCATTGGCTGAGTGAATTAAACCCTGGAAATTTGTTTCCTGCTGTTCTGGAGAATAGGAAGCTAAGATAAGGAGGGCACCACATGGCCAGGTTCTCAGGACTCTCTCTGCTT